AGTTGTGGAAGTAAGGCTATATCTGTCAATTTAATCCCAGGAATATATAAGAAAAGTTACTAGAGGATATAAATGAAAGTTAAGATATAAGAAAGTTAAATATTGTTAACAATAGATTACAGTTTACAGTTATAAATTACTGTTGTAGATGGTTTTGCCAATTTTATTAATTTCTAGTTAACCTTTGTTAAATCTTGAGATATTGTATCTATTAAGATTTTAATTGGTTGAAAAAAAAAAAGTATAATCGAAGCGTATAATGCTAAATTAACGAGCATGTAAGAATTGTTGGTATACATGTTGACTCAATTGACTGGAATATGAGATTGGATGTGTTGTATTTAGACCATTGTCACTTTTGACATAACTGTTGAGTTGAAGTAAAATAAAAGTGTTAACTAAGGCTTTTAATAGTAAACTCATCAACATATAAGAATTGATGTTGTCACTTGCATAGCATACGAGAACGGATGTATTAAATAAGTGAGGGTGTTTTAATGTTGAATTGTACAAAATTACAGGTGTAGAGATATTGGAAGTTTATAATAATAACGGTGATGTTGTTTTCAAATATTTGGTTGATATTGATCAGATAAATAAGATTGAATTAAATTTAAAGCGTTGTCTTTGACGACGACGGAAGTTAAAATTTTTATAAGTAATGATCAACGCAATCAAATGCTGGGCATTTGATTCCATAGATTAGTCTGAGCACCTATATGCACTTGTATGTGTGGCTGAACGCCCTTTGGAGAAATCGGATTGACTATTGTACTAACTAAATAGTTTAAATTGAAATTAATCCTTTCAGAATTGATTTTATGTGTCTGTTGTAATTAATGGGAAATTAGAAGAGGTGCTAATTTATAGAACCCAGACACCGTATACAGACACTTTAGAAATATTATGAATAAAGCGCTCGAGGTGTACAAGATAGTTACACTGCAAGATTGTAGTAAGGACGATCACAAGGTAAAATTTGATACACCTCTATGGAAAATAGTCGGTAAATATACGCGGTGAAGAGTTGTACATGAACGAATAGATCTGAAAGATTAAGGAATGCTAGTGATACAATGATGAGTTACAATCGATGACAAGCTGAATTATGAGCAAAATGGCTAATAGAACGGGCGGTTGATATGACAATGAAAAATGATTTGCAATACTTTGATGAAATTATGAGATTAATATAATAATCATATGACTATGAATACGATTTATGGATTTTAAGGTAAATGATGGTGATTTAGATTTGATGATATACTGATGAGATGATTGCGCTGAGATCGCGGCTGATGGTTCCGTATACGTTAGTTCACGGAGAAAATGGGGATCCGCGTGTGCTCAATGCGACGTACAACGAACGACTCGCTTTTTGTTGATGCTACTCAAGATTTGGTAGATAATAATAGGAGTAGGGTATGTGGTAGTAATATATTGCATGTTCGTTCAGAAATTGGTAGATACTAGATATATATCAACCAGATATATAATTCGAATTTGGTACATAATTAAATTGAATTAACTTATGATTAAATGTTATAAAGTCCTTTAAAGCGTTGGAGAAATAGTAAAATGGAACCAGGAAATCCAGTTCTTAAAGATATGTAATAGAATAAAAAGTAATAGTAAATTTTGATGGGAGTGCATATAACCCATAGTTGAGTTGCAATGTAGAGCACTTGAGGCTGAAGTAAAAATAGCATAGTACCATAAAGAATATGACTAGTTGGAGGCCGTAACTCCTTGCGTGCGCAAGCGGTGAATGCCTCATTGAGAAAATGACCAGTTGTTAAATATTTGATGTGTTTCAGTTGGAGGCCGTAGTTCCTTGTGGCGGCAAGCAGTGGCTGAGTCTAATGAGAATCTGACCAGTTTGAGGCCGTAGCTCCTTGTGTGGGCAAGCGGTGGCTGAGTCTAATGAGAATTTGACCAGTTTGAGGCCGTAGCTCCTTGTGCGGGCAAGCGGTGGCTGAGTCTAATAAAATCCAGATCTGTTGAGACCGTAGTCATAGTGGGCAAGCGGTGGCATTTTTTTAATGTTTTGTTTTAACAGGTATTTCACTAATTAGCTAGGCAGCCGTGTTTGCAGAGATGCTGACTAGTACCTGGTGTGAAAAATTAAGTGATACAACTTAAGGCGGAAAAATATAACAAAGACTGAATTCATGATGTTGAAATGTAATGTGTAGTTGTCAGTGGCAACTTTCATATTTTAAGTATGTAAAGTATCTCAAACTAAATTTTATATGATTTTAATTTTATTATATTACCCGATGTTAACTGTTATGATAATATCGAATGAGGCCCTTCGATAACGTTGGATGGCCGAAGTGGCTACGAATACCATCGATAAAATATAAAGTGAATAGTAGGCTTACTAAACTCACGTTCGTTTGACGAAAGTTAGTAATTCGTTTTATGGAAATTGCGCAAGGTTTTACAACAAACTCCCAGAGTCTGTACTCAATTTGCCAGAAAAAGAAATCAAATGTGTCATAAAATATTTTCTTTGTAAAAAAAAAAAAAGCTTATTATAAAATTGAAAAATTTATAAATGTCATCATTTATAAATCAGTGTTTTTTTTTAGAAAATATCTAACTTGAAATTCATAGCGCTGTCAATGTTGTCTGATTGAACGGAGATTAAGTGCGTAGCGGTTTTTATGTTGATTGCCGCACGCCTAATCCTTGTTGTTAATTAAATATAAGTAAATCAATATTTATTTAAAAGAGCAACACACAGGTTTCTTGTTTATTCTTCTTGTGATGAATCTGCGTTCCGAATAAGCGATAGATTCAAAAATCTTGACTACTCAAAAGTGCTTATATTAAGTTTGTTTGAATAAAGATTATTTCTATTTCACATTAATCTGGAACAGTGGGTTTTGGTTTATGTTAAACTGGTGTTGTAAAGAAAATTGAGATCAGTATCTACAATCATTTATAGTTCCCTAAATGTACAGGGTTCAAAGGGTGCAATAGATTACTTGACCAGTGAGCTGATGGTATTGTTAAGTAAATCATAACTGAAATTCAATGAATTATGTTATATTAAAATAATTCTCTGGTAAATCAAGAGTATCGTCGAAGTAAAATAGTAGTAGTAGTATTGAGGGTATTAGAACCACTTGAATAATATTGACCTGTTATTTTCTATTGGTTAGGTGAAGGCAGGCAGCGATTTTGTTCTAATTTTATGTCACGAGAATATTACTTTCTCTTTATATTTTTTTCTCTATATATGTAGGTAATTAAGTTTTACCTTTTGTAATGTGATATGTTAAATTTATCCGTTAAAATATTCATGATGAGAAATGTCAAGTTCTATTTTGGAGGTATAAAAAAAAAATGCAATGTTCATAAGATCGGAAACTTACATTGTGATGGTGATATGTTACAGTCTGACTCATAGAAGTCAATCACCGCCAAATAATTGTTTGTTACTCTAAAAGGTTGTTCATGTTTTTGGGTGATTTGGATTATGTAAATTAATATATGTTATGTTATATTTTGTGCATTCTGAATGCATGCCGAAACTTAGCTCTGTTAGTATTGATTTTAGATTGTAAACCTTTGACAGTATACTAAGATAGTCAATGTTATGAAAGTAATGTGTATCTTTAGTTTATTTAGTTAAGTATTTGTTATATGATCCTGTAGACACTATATCCTTTGATAAGCATGACTACGCTCATCAGTTACCTATGTGTCTGGGCCAGACACTATTGCAGGATGGCCGACTGTTAACTATCGTGTGACGCACCATTAATTAAAAATGGTAAAGTCAATAATCATGTAACCTGAAACGGAACGTCAGAGGCCAGAGCCAAAGTAATCTATGTGACATTGACAAGTGGATGACGGACGATTGAACGGAGGCAGCGGGAGTTTTGGAGCGAAGGGTTGATATTATTATAAAAACAAATAAGAGATAGATAATTGTGAATATTGTAGGCATTGAGGTGTTTCTCTCCCTGACTAACCGGCATTACGCCTAAGTCGTCAGGATACTAGTGATTTTAAAAATAGGTACGTATGTACATATGTGAATATGGGTACCTATTTTAGTAAATTTAACTAAACACATACATTGATTTATTGCAAATGTAGTGGGTTGAACAGATGTACTAAACCTTTTTTAATTTTCATTTGTCTTATTAATAGGCCGTTTTATTTATTTTTATTTGTAACTTATTCCAAGTCGGCAAGAGACGGCTTTGCTGATGATGCTATCGGTTACATACAAGTAAAAAGAGCAGTACATTTAAAACCACGAAGTTTTAAATGTAACTTGCGAAGTTTGTGCCGCCAACAGAGGCTGTAAACGTACTATAGCATTTTTAATGTGGCTAAGTACATCGTCAAAGAGAGGACGAAACGTCTGTTATCAAATTTGTTGGATTTTTTTGTGGTTATAATAAAAATAACTATTACTTTGGTGGTTGTATTTGTACGTTTCGGCACAATACATGATTTCCTAGTATTTGGTTTGGTTATTTTTGAAGATATTTATAATTTCTAATGAAACGTAAGATGACTCCGTGCTGAGATTGCGAGCGGACAGAGCTAGTGTTGTACTATGACGTCACACCGTCACACAAGTCCGCATCGCACCTTTACTTCTATAAATCAGAAACTAATTGACGTATTGAAGTAATTCTTTCACTTATATTTTTTATTTTTGACAGAGAATATGGAGAGCTAATATTCAAAATTAGTTAACATTCTTCATTCCATAAAGATTACGTTTTGAAAATGATTATGTGCGTAGTAAGAATGAAATATAGCATTTTATAATTAATAAGTAGTAGTAAGATGATTTTGGAGTTCTAAATATATATTACTGAAATAAAATTGCTATTGAGTTTAAGGCTGTTTAATGAGCTCATAGTAAACATCCTAGAGATTTCTATCTCTGAACATATATAGTAAATAGATGACATACAACTCTTAAACTCTGTGGTCTAGCCGTTCAGTACTTTTCTCATCTGTGCTCATGTGCTGTCATGATTTGTCTGTAGCCTATATCTAAAATTGATACTTGATCTGTGATAATATAAAAGTAAAATTATTTTATTATTAATTTAAACTTCTGTCTACTATACATAATTTAAATATTCAATTTAACAAAGTATTAGTTATATAAGTATATAAATCAATTTATACGTAAGTTCTACATGCTTAAATTTTGTTTGATTGTTAAAAATGGGTGCGTTGTTCGGAAAACAGAAAAAGACCGTGAGCAGAGTAACTGAGCAAGATAAGGCTGTATTACAATTAAAACAACAAAGAGATAAATTAAAACAATACCAAAAGCGAATAGAGTTAAACTTCGAGAGAGATATACAGTTGGTTAAAAAATTACTCAGTGAGGGCAAAAGAGATAAAGCCAAACTTGCATTAAGGAAAAAGAAATATCAAGAACAACTACTACAGAACACAGAGGCGCAATTGGAAAAATTAGAACAACTTACTCATGATATTGAATTCGCACAAATTGAATTACAGGTATATACATTCTTTTAAGTATTTTCTGTGGTTATTATGCCTCAATGTAAGCAAGACAAGACAAGTTACTTTTGCCCTACTTTAAAAAAAAAAACATCAACATCTATCTAATGAAACATGCAGTGGAAGTATGTTTTTGACAGATGATGGGTTGAAATTCCGTTAACATTAATTTTTATTACTTTTTAAAGTACTGTGCCTGGTTTTCAATTTATATTTATCTTAAGCTACATACATATAATTTATGGTAAAAGACATATCTGGAGGCAATTCATAATCTCTAGAACTGAATAATTCTCAATTGTAAATAAAAATATAGTATAATAAAAATGAGGTTCTACCTCATGTACAATGTTGATGTATATTATACACATACTTTTTTCCATACACTAGTGGACACACAGTGATTTAAATTCGATAATAATTTAAGTATATTGTAATTAGTTAATTTATTTTGGTTATATTTGATATTTCCGTATGACTTTCGATAGATAAATAATATTAGACTATTAATCTGTTCTCAAATTGCACACAGACTAACAATAAAAAAATAATATATTTGTGTGTGTCAAATACATGGTAGTATGTGCAATATTTGCTATATTGATTTAATGTATTTTTGCATAATAAAAAAAAATTAGCATCCTGAACTCATCTATAGACACTATAAGTGTGCGAAACTTTATATTCCTCCATCTACACATTTTTTTAGCAAAAACTTGTACCCAAGTTATTGCTTCACATATTAATGTATAGATTATGTTTATAATTTACTGTATGGATATCTGTTTTACAGGTACTGGATGGCTTGAAGACTGGAAATGCAGCATTGAAGAAGGTACATGATGTATTAAATATAGACGAAATAGAGAAAATAATGGATGAAACAAGAGAAGGCATAGAAAAACAAAGAGAGATAGATGAACTTATATCTGGTCAACTAACAGAGGAAGATGAAGAAGCTGTAGAAGCTGAGCTTGAAGCAATCCTAGATGTTGGTGAGCAATTACCTGATGTGCCTACAGATAAATTGCCAGAAGTCACTGAAGAAAAAGTTGCAGATAAGCCCCAGAAAGCCAAAGAGAGCCCTAAAAAGATAGCTATTGAAGCTTGATCTATTATAGTTTTGCATATAACAATTGTACAGTCTTGTAATATAAGTATATTATTTTTATACTTAAATTTTATTTAACCCCTACACATTTACTACCCATATTATTGGTCATCCAGTCAATATTATGTATACAGTTCAATAGAAAGTTTTAGTATTCAGAGGTAGTTTAGACTTTTTCATTCATTCAAATTATGAAATTAGCCCATTTTATATTAAATTGCAACCATGTGGAAGTTTTTATATAAATAAATATAAATTCTAAATTAAGAGTAGCCTAAGTTACTCCCTATATCATTAGTTTATCTACGAGTGAAAGTCATGTCAAAATCGGTCCAACTGTTACAGAGATTAGCAAGATTAAAAAGACATTTTTATATAATTACTTTTGATGTATTTTTAAAACTCATAATCATTTATTTAGTGAAAAGCTTTTATAAAATTAATTTGAAAATACAAACATTTCAATTTAGTTTATTTTTATAGAGATAGTACAAGAAATCATTGACATAAAATATACACTATCCACCCTATGATTTCTTGTACTGCTATTGCAAGTCGACAATAAATGCTTCAACCAGTTTTGTGTAACAAAACAGTCAAATCAAATCATAATTTAATTTTTCTATAGTAAATGGTTTAATTGTCATCTTCTCATATTACCTTTGGTATGTTGGAACTAGGGGAAGAAAAAAAGTTTCTTTTCAATTTTTTTTTAATCTCATCCATATCAAATTACTGAACATAAATTAGTTTTTAGTACATACTATTGTATCTAAGTTTAAGATTCCTATAAAATATAAATTAGCGTGGCACCTCTGAAGATAAAATATCAATTGAATGTGATAAAAATTATCTCCATGATTTTATGCACCCATAAAAAATAATATTACTACATACAACCGGACGATTTTTAACCGTTTTATCCCATCTCAGTATAACAATATTTATACCACAATCCAGCATTTGTTAACATAAATGATATATTTCATTAGACTTAATTTCGCTATGGGGTATATCTAATAGGTTACAATAAACTATGTACAAATAGATACAAGCTAATTTATAGTTTTACAAGCTGTCCCAATAGACACAAAAGTGATTATAACACCACTTTGTCTACATTATGCTATGCTAACATCGATCTACTACAATACAGGATAAGATGTAAAATATTTAAGTATACATGGCTTGAAAAATCATAAATCTAGTTTTATCACAACATATAAGTTTCTGTACCTACAATATATTTCATTATAGTAGATACACTATTACATTCTCATATTATTGATGGTTTTGACCATCATGCTTGTGTGTATATGACTTGAGCAACATTGCAGATCCTTTTTGTAGTTGGACGATGTGAGCTAAGCACTACAGCCTTTAGTTTTACTTCTATACATTCTTTTTATAAAAAACATTACAATTAGTAATTTATCACACTTGTACTATACATACATGGCAAAGAATATTTATTATCTAAGCTGGGCCGTACCATGGGTTTTATAGGACTTCTATCCTACCCATAAAAATACCATTGCTTTGATTATATGAATTTTCTTAATTCCTTGGGAAACTGCAAAAGAATTTATTTTTATAAACTCTCGCCCCTATGGTCCCTTTTTAAGATTAAGTAAATAAAAATATGATTTAATATTTTCACCTAAATTTAATATCGCATAAAATATGTTGAAATACTTCTGTATTTTCGATATCAAAACAAAAATCAGAAGGAACTTTCACCACAAATAATTATATAGCTCCATCGCAATTTATAATATGAACAAAATATTCCCTACATGAAAATATAATTCATGAAGATTTTGTATTAGCTTTCAATTATTTTCTCGGTTACTTTGCACAGGAATGTTTTAAATACATGAATTTATGTTTGAGGCGTTAAAAGTATATAATTTAAATAAAATTGTATAAATATCTAAAATAATATCTAAAACCACTGTTTGTATTTACATAATGAAAACGTAAGTGTTATTCTGGTAACCGCTACAGATATGAATGCGTAAATTGATATTAACAGTAAAACTAATGAAATATGGATATTGCTTATTGATTGGTAAATTAAATCGATTCAAACACCATTAACTGTCTATGTCTCATGCTCTACATATTTATATTTATAAATATGAAGTAAATCACAAAAGCAACAACCATCTTTATACATACTATTTATCATTTTTATTTACATTAAACTATTTATTACATAAAAGCAGTTCAGAGACAAAATGAGGAAGAATTGAAACTCTTAAGTTTATAAGTATTACAATTAAGAAATGAATCAACAGTAGCAACGATTCATATCACGAACAAGAACTTTTTGTACTGCTAGGGTATAAAAAAATATTATGTCATTATAAACATTTCGCAAAGTTCGTATTCGAATTAAGCTTAACAATTAAGTGTATATATATTTACAAATAAATTACATGATTGCATCCCAGAGCAGTCCCGCTATAAACTACCGCATAGATTTAGATATTGTAAAATAGATACAAGCGTGAACAGACGGATGTAAACTGTGACTATAATGTAACCCTGAGTAACCCCGCTATCTGAAAGCCCTCTAAACTAGAACAACTCCGGGGTAACCCAAAAAGATGGTAACCCTACACAAATGTAACAACCCGTATTGCAAGTGCCTCTATATTTACGTAGAATCGGAATCCCAAGTAAAGTTTGCGATACTTGTAATGGTATCCATATATAATATTATATTCGAGTTACATTACACACACACAATGCGGCTTTACACTAACGGCTTACCGCAGACGCTAGTAAATAAAATTCTTCAAAAGTAGATTACCTGTCTACTAAAACGAAAAATACGCAACTATATAATAGATTACTTAAATTTCATAAAATGAATGATATACGTAAATCACAATAAGTTATACTCAAGTCGATCGTTGTACAATGCAATCAAAATATTAAAGAAGAATAAAATTAAAAGATATTGTTATAAACTCTTTTAAAAAAATATGTATGATTTTCCAGCATGCATTATGGCATGTCAGTTCAGTACTGAAACAAAACAATTAGCCATATATTGTCACTTATACAATATTTCAGATTGAAGTTATTCCACACCACAATCTGGCAGAAGGTTATATTTCTTTACAGTGTTAGTAACTAAAAAGTACACCAAGTCGAAAGTAATGTGCAAAATTAAATACAATTTTAAAACCGCTGTACAAAATTTCCCGTTTTACGTATGTAATTTAGTATAAAAGTGCAATATTTATAATCAGATTTCCACTTCGTTTCTTGTTTAATATTCAGCTTTATGAGTATTCTTATGCGGCTCGTGACTCGGTATACCATTTACAACTAACCCTGTATTGTTATTTTGTTCGCCTGTACACTCGATCGTCGCGGTTCACAATAGTTGGTGGCATACTTGTGGTACGGGTGGTGGGGCGTGGTGCTAGTAATTAACAGTGACGGGGTGGTGTATGGGGGCGCCGGAGTGATGTGCGGTGGCCGCTGGATGTGCAAATGTTCCGGCCGCTGCCACATTCGCCACACTCGTCACGCTCGCGACACTTGCTACGCCTGCCACATCAGCACCGCTTGTTGGTACGCCAGCGCGGACTTGCTGTTTTAGACGTTATGATAACAATTAGCTGACCCATTGTACAGTGATTACTTTTAATTACCACGCGGAAAAATATGACATTATAGTATCAAAAAAAATTCCTAAATTTATTAGAAATCTTTGTTTCCTTAATTAATATATTTAGCGGAAGGCTATTTCGTTAGTTAAACGGATCTTGAAAATTTTATGCAAAAATATTATATAATTATATTTCCAATGTTTTAGCTGTAATGCCCCTACCAACACTTTGTAAATACGCCGCGTTATTCACGAAGCGGAGTAAGGGATTATACATACATACGTTATATGAGTATGCCTAACCACAACAACATTGTGTATTATTGAATGTTAAAATCTTAACATGAATTCTTATTTACAATTAAAATCTATACATTAATTTACTTACTTGGCTTGTTATTTGCATCACAGTTGTGCTATTTTGGGGGTTTTGTGTAATATTGCTTTCCGTGGGTCTGTTTTCTGTTGCTACTCGACTGTAATAAAAAACCTCGAGTTAAACACAAGATCCTGTTCACCATCAAAGTTTATTATTAGGTCAATTGGTAAGTTCGGTAAAAACACTTGTGTAAAACATCTGTCATATTTAAGTACAACGCTTTGGCAACGTTGAATTTTTAAAATAAGTCTCATACATATTGTTTACACTTTTTTTTATTAGCTTATTTTAGTATATCTTTTTATACGTAGAGACATGACACACACTACTTTTCCATGAAAATGTCTTTTGTTGGAAAGGTGGTGTGAAGTCAGAATGGAATAAGTCATTACTCCTAAGTCCTCAAGAAACATTGTGAAGTTAATTTTTATCGGAGTCGGTTGTTATTTTCCATCAGACCTTACCAGGCCCAGAATACCATTCCTATAATATATGAAAATAAAAGGAAAACGGGGCTAGGTTGTTTACCTGATGTCATGCTTCCTTTCTGGCCGATCAACATCTCCCTTGTCGCACTTGGTGCACTCGCCGTCTGGCGTCGTTTCGCAGCCGCACTCTGCTGCCGCTGTGCCGCCGGCAGTTTCCGTGTGTGTCCGCCGATGAGACACCAGGTGTCCTGCCACCGACAATAACCAAGAACATGAAGTTAGGGAAATGTATAGTACTACTACACAATGTCTGTAAATATTAATACCACTCCTTGTTAAAATACACTGGCAACAAATTACAGTAAAACTGCGTACTACTGAAAGAAAACCTTATCAATTTCTGTGGGTTAGGGTGGTATTAGTAGACTTAAGTCTCCAATCATGGTAAATTTAGTATACAACCAATAATGAACTGAAGTATACCTTTAAAAAAAATAAAAAAGCAAGGTTCACAATTCGTTTAAATCACGTAAAGTAAAAAAATATATACAGTACATATATTGCAACGCGTTTGCTGTGTAAAGACTTGAGAAAATTCAGATACACTGACCTTTACAAAGGAAATCCTTCGAACAGATCCCGCATCTGAATGGCCTCGCGCCGCCGTTACCCTTATTGTGGGACCGCTCGTGGAAAAGTAGATTACCTTTCAACGGGAATGATTTACCGCATTCGTTACAGCTGAATGGGCGCTCACCGCAGCTGTGCGATCTGTACCAATAATATTAGTTATTTTATTTACATAAATTAATTTTTAATAAATAGAATATTAAAAAAATGTGTATATTTTAAAAATAGTGTACAAGTTATTCCATTGGCGACTATTTATGTATAGTCGTAAAAGGCACGCCAGCAGCGAAATAAAATATTAATGAAACTGAACCATTTCATCTATTTATTTAACAATAAATCACCGGCAAGTGAAATATAAATACATAATCATCATTCTCATTTCTATTTAATTGGTGTGGTAACCAGTTATAGATAATAAGAGCATTACGCTATCATAGTCGTGAGGTCTAAGATGTGGTGATCACAAAATAACCTGCTTGGCGACTATAATACAGGAGACTGGGGTACTTATGCCAATGATTTTTCCAAAGGCTAACTAGGTAATTTCAATTGTAAAATATAGTAAGTACCTCATATGAGTAACAAGATGTTCCTTTCTCGTGAATGGCTTGGAACAAATTTTGCAGGCGTGGGGTGTGTCCCCAGTGTGCTGCTTCAAATGATTGGTGAGATGTTCCTTTCGTGTGAACGTTTTCTGGCAAAACTCGCACCGATGTGGCGACTCGCCCGTGTGAATTCTGGAAATAATTTTACTATTTATATAACACGTTTGATCATGAAAGTGCATACATAAAAATAGTATGTCACTTATATTGTACTTGACAGAAATTCAGTTCAAAAATGGCTCGGCTAGGTTTTTGTTATATACTTAATGAATTTATATTAGAAATAATCTTTATTCAAATAAACTTAATATAAACACTTTTGAATAGTCAAATTTTTTTATTCCACCACTCATTCGGAACGCAGATTCATAAAAAAAAAAGAGCAAGAAACATGTGACTTGCTCTTTTAAATAAATCTTGTGTAAATATACATTAACAAGTATCATGCATGCCACAATCAATGTACAAACCGCTACGCAGATATTATTTTGTTTAATTCCGCTACAATTAGCATGTGTGAGATCACAAATATTCAGTATGGACATTTGACTACCGTTACGATGTTCTGTAATGGTGATCAAATGAAATGTGTGTACAAAGTATTGATTTTAGCGGTAATTAAAAAAGATTCTTAAACTGTATATTTTTAGCATTACTTCATATAAATAACTAATAATACGCAATCTATGTATTGTAAATTTGTATTCAAAATATTTGTCTCTATGGTTTCAGTATAGATACATTAAATATTTATTTCTTAGCATCACAGATACATTATTAATTTCAGAGACTGATCAACACACACCATAATGAAAATATATATAAATATAGATAACATCAAACTAACCCTCCTACAGATACACTTACTAACCTGACATGGTTGGTCAAATGCTCCTTCCGTGAGAATGTTTTAGTACAGAACGGACACTTGTGTGGTGTTTCGCCCGTGTGGAGGTGCACATGGTTTGTCAGGTGCTCCTTCCGTGAGAAAGACTTCGTGCAATATGTGCACTTGAACGGTGTCTCTCCAGTATGTTGTCTGTGACAATACATTCCGATTAGAACCTTATTATCTACACATAAGTACTAATTGAATTTGTTCCAGTCGGAATGGACTGCCTGAGGAGTTATTGAAATGACTTTACAAGTTACTATACTTCAGATTGAAACGAAATGTTCCTAAACATGTATGCCATTGAAATTAGGAACATGTGAATCATGAAAATAGAAGGGAAAATTTTAACCAGTGCTATTATGAGAATAAACATTTTATGTAAGTATTATATTGTGTAAAACGGCATATAAAAAGGACATCAAATTGCAAAACAATATTTTATTTCAGACATGGTTACAAATAACTGAAAACTAGTTCAAAAATTTGCAGATCGCGATATGCATACATCGTGATTTGCAGATATTTGCGTAACTCAAGCAACATTACACTTTAATAATTTCTTATATTACTAGCATGTATTATATTAATCATTATATGTATAAATTATTTACCCTGACAATATTATATATGAGCTCCCGTGAAAAAAGATCGAACTAGCATCATTATTTGCAGACTAAAAACATGATAAATTATGGTCAGTTACGTGATAGAGACACCGAACTAAAAAAAAAAGGATATAGATTGACGTCGATACCGCGAATTTTTTGTAAGTTCAATTTGAGAAAAAATCAAATGTATTTACATTGAATAGTTAAGTCGATAAAAAGTAAACACTGATGTGAAATTTCCTTGTCCTTGTTAACAGATTGGATATAAAGGTATCGTTTTACCTGATATGATTAACGAGATGTTCTTTTCTCGTGAAACTCTTGCTGCAGTAGGTGCAAGAGTGCGGCATGTCGCCGGTGTGCTGGCGAATGTGGTTGTTGAGGTGTTCCTTGCGGGAGAACGCGCGCGGGCAGTACGTGCACTTGTGTGGCGTTTCGCCCGTATGCTGTCTGCACAACAGAGCACATTCCGATTTGATTAAAATATTCTTTATCGCACGCCTCTAATTAAGCCATTAAACTAACTCCTAAAAATCACTATAACGGGCGAAATTTATAGTTTAATTCGTTCTGCAAAAATTCTAACTTTTAAACCTCATATCACGACAATTCGAAACATACAAGCGACATGTCATATCTGAAAATAACTGTAAAATAGTTTTGGTAACAGAATCATAAATAGAAGAATTAAATTTTATCACGAAATGAACTACTATTTAATTTAGTTATGCAGGAAATAAAATATTGGAATTGAGTGCTGCTGAAGCTCGCTGATGGAGTTCAAATCGGAATGCACAATGCTGTGCTACTGCTCGTTACTTCAAAGGAAACTTCACACGAATGCCGTCTGGGACTTATACATTACCGCAGATTACAGGGGTCCGATTACATTACGATTTATCTAAAAACTCTGATAGCGAAAATCTTACCTTGAAGAGATGAAATAAAAGTGGATAGACATGCTATAACATGCATACTATAGGAGACATGCTTTGGGTACTAGGGTTAATCTACTACAGACGGTAAGTTTTGACATAACCGTAAACATTTACAGCAGCTTGTAGCACAGCATTGTATTTGATTCTACTTCTAAATATGAACTAAAATATTTAATAAACGTGTGGAGCATTAGAAAGAAATATGGCACTTTCTAATAATGATGGATGAATGTATCTGCTGATGTTAACATTGGTTATTGTAATTCTAAAATCTACCAGAAAGTACCACAGTTTAATAAAATGTTTCTCTCACCTGATATGGTTCGTAAGATGTTCTTTCCTGGTAAACGATTTAGCACAATAGGAACAGCGATGGGGCGATTCTCCTGTATGTTGGCGTACATGATTTGTTAAATGCTCCTTCCTAGTGAACGACTTGGTGCAGAATGAACATTTATGTGGCGATTCGCCCGTGTGCTGGCGGACATGGTTCACTGTAAATACAATTTTCTCATTAATTCAAACTTAACAAATATTTGTATAATAAAACAATATAATATCCGTAACACTAAGTTTTAGTGGAAATGGTAAAATAGTATAAAACAAAATATTTACATTTTCATTAGTAGTTTAGTAGGACATGCCTTTCAGGAACGAAAACTAATAATATGTGGAATACTAGGTCAGTACTACCTCAACTAAGGATGACAATCGTAAATATTGATTAACATTCAAAGTTTTACAACTTCCAAACAATAGATCATAACTATTAGGATACTAAAATTAAAACAAACTTGAAGATGCTATATAGACATTATAATTACCTAGGTGGTCTTTCCTGGTAAACGCTTTAGGGCAGTAGCCGCACTGGAATGGCGTCTCCCCCGTATGTTGTCGGACATGGTTCACTAGATGTTCACGACGTGTAAATGATTTGGAGCAGAAGTTGCAGCGATGTGGCGATTCACCCGTGTGTTGCCGGACATGATTCAACAGATGCTCCTTACGCGTGAACGTTTTAGAGCAAAAGTCGCATCGATGGGGTGTTTCGCCTAGACATTAGAAATAAATAGTGTTAGTTACTGTATCAATGCATATTAGAAATAAAAGCTAAGCATTCATTTACACACTCATATTTATGTTCTAATCTTATTTGGAAAGAGTTAGTGCACAATATTTGTCTTTTCTTTTTGAGTCTAAATACATATATTTGAATCGAATAAATAGTAACCGTGTTAATTACTGCTACATTATACGTGTACGTTATCTATCATGTACATACTTATAACAATATAATTTGTGACAATTAATTACAATATATGTTTATAAACTAAAAAAGATTAAGGTCCCTAAGTGAACGTCCTGTGTACTCCAGCTCCTCACAGAATGCATTCTTTTTAGTAAACTATTTTACAATATGAATATATGTATAGTTTTTATGTGTTCAAAATAATTGGTCTATATAACAAAAGAAATAAGTGCAACATAAAATTAAGGTACCAGTTACCAAATCATTATGTTACACAATTGTCATACGCATGCATGGTTAGATATATATACAGAGCATTCATTCTTAATCATATATTATATTATTTGTTATTTAGTGTATAACGGAAAATCCAAGCCTTACACCAGGAGAATAGTACAATGGGTGCCTCCGCCGACAGTGTACAATGACAAGACATCGTTCCGTGTGTGTCATTACCAATGTACGGCGCAAAATAAAAACGATACTAACCCGTGTGCCACATAATGTGATTGGTGAAGTGTTCTTTTCTTGTAAAAGACTTGCCACACAGTTCGCATCGGAAAGGAGTATCGTTTGTGTGCGATCTCATATGGTTCACTAAATGCTCGTTCCTAGTAAACTTCTTGTCGCAAATTTGACAATGATGCGGCGTTTCACCTATTTGGGTGGGCAGAAAATAAAACGTTAACATTCAATGATGCAACTATATCTCTCGCGATTTATACTCATGTTATTTAATACCAAATTGTGTAGTGAGTGTTAGTGGTTTAGCAATATCTGCATCCACTTATTTCATTATGTTATTTGTTAAAGTTAAAAATAGTTGAATCATTCAATAACTTTTCTACTTTCTGCACCACTGGTAACCAAAATCTGGTGCAGGCTTGGGTATTCCATCTAAGCTATTAGGAAATGAATTATCTATTAACTAAACACTAATATAATTACATTTCCTCATTAATTCGAAAATAATACAACTGCACCTACACAGAATCTATGTAAATACTCCTTTTAACATGCTACTAAAAGTATGTGATAAGGTTTAAAAATGAATTGCATCATTAAAACTAAATGTGATTTACAAAGAAATATAAAATGCAAAGTGAAAAATAATAACAAACTGCAAAAGTAATTATAAAATAGAACTAAATATAATTTGCTACAACTTGTGATATGTTGAAAGGATTTAAAAAATAATACGAAAATAATATTGATATTCCTCATGATCCACTATTTTCACTTCCACATAACCATTTTACATTATAAAAAACATTCTTCCACACTCTCATACACAAAAACAACTTTGCAGTGAATGTTTAATTGAAAAATATTAAGATGTACATAATATTTTTAATTTGATCAAGAGGATTTTATCAATTTCACCAGGGTTGATCATATTTAATAATAGAATGACATTATTACATAAATTATACAAACTTACTTCATTTAAATATTTTCTTCAATTATTTTTTATATGGCAACCCTGATAATAGAGCAAGATAATGGCGAGGAGACATACCTGTGTGCCACATAACATGGTTCATGAAGTGCTCCTTCCGAGTGAAGCTCTTCTTGCAAATCTCGCAGCGATGTGGTGTTTCGCCTGTATGCTTTCGCACGTGGTTCACCATATGTTCCTTACGCGTGAATGTTTTGGAGCAATATTCACATCTGTATTGATAATTTTAATTGATAATTAAGTTGGTGGATCGTTATAAGAAGAAAAATAGTATAGTTTTAGTCACCTGATATATTTAAAAGTTAAATCTAGACACATGTTTACAACTAAAGATAAATATTACATCTAATATATATATAAAGGTGGACCGACGATCTGGTCAAGATCGCTGGAAGGCATTGGATGCGAGCAGCGCAGGACCGATCGTCGTGGAGATCTTTGGGGGAGGCCTATGTCCAGCAGTGGACGTCTTCCGGGCTGCGATGATGATGATGATGATATATACAAAAAATATGAGGTCATTATCGTCATCATTATTATTTATTAATAATAGTTTCCTACTTTCGAAATCTATATTAATTTCAAAGGACTTAGAGATACAAAATGTAAAGCCAAAAAATAAAAATACCGTTAATATAAATATTATACAACAAGAAAAAGCAAAACATACCTGTATGGAGTTTCTCCAGTATGGCTGCGAACATGGTTATCAAGGTGTTCTTTTCGAGAAAACGTTTTGTGGCAAGTAGTGCATGCATAAGGTTTATCTTGAGTTGATCTCTTTGCATGTCTCTCGGCTGGATCTCCAGCTATAAAAGAAGTTAAATTTTTAAGTAAGAAGCAGTATAAAAAAAAGTTTTATCCTGCCGCGCTAGCTGCATCTAATACAGCAATATACACCAATATATGTATAAGGTGAAAGGATCTAATAATTGGTAAAGCATATTTTAAGTGTTTCCATTACAACTATATAAAACATAGAATCATTTCTCTTTACAATAATAGTATAGACAAAATGTAATCTGTACATTTACATATAAAATTTTATAAGTAATACTTTATGGGCTATTCAGTAACAAGCAAAGTCGACATAGTAGGTTGTCAATTAGGGACTATCCATAAATAGCGTCGAGAGAAGTTGGGACTGTTAGAACGAGGTTTGCAATCGATGACTAGACTGGCTGGTATGGCAGATGAAGTATGTTTTGAATATTTGAAAAAAGAGTGTGTTTTGTCATCTTGTCTGTCGTCGTATTTGATGTATCCGTATAACTCTATTATTGCTAATTATTAACTATATTGTATTAAATGTGTTTTTATATTAATTTATCTTGATTAGAAATATATTTTGTTTATCTTATTCTACATTGTTTACTTGGACACTATTATAGTTACTCTGTTAACGTGAGGCAAGTACAGAGGTAACTTCCCCCACAGGGACAATATGTTTTGTGACATATTATGAAAATGTCTATTTAAGCAATATTTTTGCACTGGTTGAATCATACATCAAAATAATACTATTATCTATTATTGTTCAAAGTAATTTTTAACTTCTATCTTGATATCAGCTAATATTATTATTGAATAGCAGTACTTTTAGTTTGAACGTTTACATCAATGATTTTACTCACCAAGATGACATTTTCCGTGTCTTGAGAGTTCGACGGGATTAGCAAACGCAGATCCGCAAACTTGACACGTATACGGTTTGCTTTCACCATGATATCGCCTGTGTCATAAGGTTTACATTGTCAATTTTCTATCACAATATATATTACCAACAGAAATGACATCTATCTTTATGTAAAATTTAATGTCAAATCAAATAATTACCTATGAACAATTAATTGGTAGCGAAACTGGAACGATTTTCCGCAAATATCACATGAGTGGTGGCCTGGGGAAGACTCTGTTTCCGCCATGGCACCACTGGTACCTGGCTCTACTTCCACTTCATTTATTACCTAAAAACAACAAATTAAATCAATTTATATACAGATATACGTCCACAGTGTATAGGTATACAATATAAAAATAAGTAATCCTTCCTTCAACTCAGCATAAAAATTAAAATTACATGTATTTTTTTGTTGGACCCCAAGTAGTGTAAAATATTATTTGAAATAAAATAATGCCACCTAGTTGATAACACATAATAGTTACTAAGTACTTGACTATGATTCTGAGATATAATAAATTTAAGATATGTCTACTTTTTTTGTTTTATTCTGTAATAATGTTTATCATCAATCTACTATGTGAAAGGAAAGTAAAATGTGTGTTATATGTAATGAAAATAAATGTTCTAGTATAAGTACCTTTGCCTGTGGTTGTCCTTCAGCATTAAGTTTACCAAATACTTCGTGATATGCAAGCAATTGTGAAAGATCTTCAACATTTACTTTGTACATAGCATGGAGATCATGTTCTGATGAACCTGCTGAGATCTTTACTACTGCCCCCTCCATTCCCATTGCACCAACACTCTGTTAAAATAGTTAAAATTTAGACTTACTACAACTCCTCTGCGAGTCATGGCAAGGTGAGTTATGGCAGTAAAATTACATTGTATGCAAGTATGACACTTTAACTTTAACAATTGTTAGGAATAGTAATGAGATATATTACTTTTTTCTTTCGATCAGCTAGGCCGTCAGCTTGTTTGGAATTGTAGTTAATTAAAGGAATATAGAACTTCATAGGTATATATTATTAAGTAAAAATGTAGGTCATAAAATACATTAAATTTTATTGAAATTATTATTATTACTCACTTTCAAATCAATACCCTTAATGTCCTTTATATCTGCAGGTATTGCAAACTGAGCTGTCTCCATCTTGCTGCCATTTTTTTCATCTTTAACTATAGCTAACGAGTCTGCTGCGCTAGCTTCTATAGAAGTGGTTCCATCAGGGTTATGTGTCACTAGAATGTTTGCCGGCTCGCCGGTTGCTTGCTCTATGCGAACCACACTATCCAATACCTATAGGTATTCAAATAGATAAATATGTATATTAAGGTTTATTCAGATTTCCTATTTAATAGCCTGACTTGGGTTTTTTTCCGAAAGTGTGAAATGTAACTTACGATTTATACTAGATTAGAGTATACAAACAATAAATGGTAATAATTTTAGATCGCTCCTACATAACTCATTATGAGTCACTGTAATCTCAACTACATTATACCCACAAGCTAAACCAAAGGGTAAAACAAAATAACAATTGAATAAATTGTCTTTACGACTTGAATTACACTAGCATTTCTTGTAAATATGTAGACTGAGAGTCTTTTATTGGATAACCAATTAAAATTATACAAGCCCTACATTTCGAGTGAGGCTTACCAGAATATATTATGAAAACCATATCCAAAAACTGACAAGCTATTTCTGAGATTAGCGCTATATACACATGAATTCAGACAAACAAAGAATCATAGTTTTGGGGACATTTAGATAGTGATAAGTAATAACTGCTCTATGCAAATAACAATATTTTTTAAATAAACATTCATTTCATTTCTATTGTCTGTATACACTAGATAGATATTAGTTGTACCTACCTGTTGCCCTACTATCTGTTGCAGTTGGTGTACTGTGAGTGTATGATCGGTGGGCATTTTGATAGCTTCATGCAGCTCTTCCTTGTCCACGAGTTTACCTCCACCTGGTTCCACCACAGTTACAATACCATCTTCGCTGACAGTTAATTGTATCTGTAATAATATTCAATATAAAGGTTCGGTAACAACAAATTATGATTTAAACATCATATCAGTAATTTGACTTGCAATAATTTTTAGAAAGATTTTTTTTCACAGGGTCTTCAAGTATAGTCGCTTCAGAGCTATAATAATATAATAACAGCTATAATTCTTATTACTTGAACTATTATTACAGAACAGATGTATAGATACTATTTAAGTTCATTCTCGAGGATTAAATAATAGTGAGTATAAAGTTTCCTAGTTATTGGACACCAACTGTGTCTGTGAAAGTTGACCTTTAGACTTAGATGAATGTTTGAGTTTTATTAAAAGTCAAATTATTAGTATTACTAATAGTTTAGAATCAATTAGGTACTATACTAATTAATGCTAATTATAATCCCTAAGCAGTATGAACATTATGAAGCGTTCCTTAGATTATACTATACAGAGAAAGAAACATAAAAAAATAAGTAACAAAAAATGTAAGGAAAACCTAATTTGGTATATATATATATATATAGTTGAAATAGAAAAATATGGTGAAAACTTACATAGCAGTTTATACAATTCACACAAGCTGCATTATAAATCAACTGGCACTATATAATAAATATATTATTATTATTATATAATTATATCTAATATAAATAATAAACATTATTTATGATAAATATAGGTCAGTGATCTATTAAATGCGTATTAAAACTACATAATGTAATATGCCCAGTGATCTTACCTCACTGACCTGTTGATTGATGGAATAATAAGCAGCGTGAAGTACAGGAATATTGTTTTACAAGTGCATAATGTATGGGGCAATTCACAATACAAATTTCAATAGCATGAATTACTAAATAATATAAGACAAACCTGTTGATTTGTGTGTTCTGGGCGAGTACTAGCCATCAGTTGTTGTTGCATCAAGTGTTGCTGTGAATGATGCCCCTGAACATATAAAAGTTTGTTTTAGGTAATATACTTTCAATATATTATAATAAAATAGGCCAATTCATAGTGTTTTATAGGAACATCAATCACATGTTAAATGTATTATATACTTATGATTACAAAAACTAATTTTTCAACTTTCAGTTGAAATTATTCATGCACATGTCAATATCTACATAATATGAAAGAGAAAGACTACATGCACCTATAGAAAGATTATTTTACTAATTACTTGCAATAATTAAATAAAAATGAGATATACCTTGTTCTTAAGTACATACGACTAAAATAAACGTTAAATTTAGAAGATTCCAAATATTTCCATATACTTCTTTATTATTACTACACTTAAATACAAGATAGCTTGTAGTACTGGTTAGGCCTGATCATGCATTCAACAGATACTAACCTCACAAGCTAGAGAATTTAATGAAAAGTCTATTTTCTACATAACAGCAAAGTATGTTTAGCATTCCTGCTAATAAACGGAGTTACCACAGGATTTACCATATCAATGTTATGGTGTACAAACTCGACCCGATTATTGGGTACCTGCTGATGACTGGCCTGGCCTGGGGTAACAGTGACCTGTGCTCCGGTGCTCGATGCCTGTTGTGCCAACTCTTGCTGTTGATTATGAGCCACCAGTGCTTCTGTAACAAACACACTTGTAAGTCCACATATCTTCTAAAGTACCTTGTTTGATTCCTCAAAATATATACTTAAGGTACCTAAGAAACTGTAAGTAAAATGATTTTAAATTTCGAAATGATAATACTTTGTGAAACAAATGCTGAGTATATAGCTGGTCAAAGCTGTACAGTAAGCCCGTTTTACTTTCATGTAACTAAAAATTATATCTATTTCAAAAGATTAATTTCTATATATTGCAAAGGGGTTAAAACAATAAACACAGGTAGGTAAAATAAGTAATGACAAAGATGACATCAAGATATATCTTGAAACTTAATTTCAAACAGAAAATATGCAAATACCATGTGCTTGTCCTGATTGTGTAGCAATAATCTGAGACACTGGAATTTGTTGCGCTCCAGCTGAAACAGTGACTTGTGGTTGGCCACCATGATGCCCCAGTATGATGTTAGGGTCTCCATTTAATATACTGGCATGTGCTTGTCCCAAATCCTGAAGTTAAATACATATTAATGTTATAAGTTACATCTGATTTCTCATCATCTCTGTCTGTTTCTTTGTTACAATTTTACGACTAATCGGGTGAATAGCTCTTAATGAAATTCTATATAAGTTATTAAATCTGTTTTTTTAGTAATTTTATATATCTAGAATGGATAAACTTTCATACAATCAGAGATGTTGTGTGGATGTTTTGTTGTCACCTTTTTGTGTGTTTGATTTCCCTTAGTAGCAATAGAAGGCAGTTATGTTGCCGTACCTTTGTAGATAAAGATTTATGCTCCCAGCGAGATTCTATTGGATTGTATATTGTATTGACAATAATAAATCTTATTCCAAATAAATTTTAATTTAAATTGAAAATATTATCTAGTTTGCATATTGTTCAAATCACAGACAATTCTTATTTTGAATATTTTCTGTCAATTATTTAATATTCATAGGTGCCTTGATACAAGTAACAAAGAAAGTTAAAAAGAAATTTATTTTCTATTAACTTAATTGTTTTAATAAAATTATTAGATATCACAATCAAATTAGACATAAATAATAATTCCAATTACATATGTTCTGTGGTTCCAAATTGTTAAAAATATTATGTAAATATTATATTATATTATAATAAATAGTACATTATTATTTTAAACAAAATAGTAAGTACAGAAAGAAAATAATTATGTTAACTTTCTGATAGAAATTTCTAAGCAATATGTACCTGCACAGGTTTTCCATTTTCTATTCTCGTCCCAGTTGGTAGTCCATAAACGGAAACTTGTGGGATCGGGCTCGGGAATAAATTTGTAAACACCCAATATTTGGCAACGCTAGACAAAGCAACGTTTACGGCGGCCGAATTGACTCGCAGATCTGTAGCTGAAGTGGTGGCGGGCATATTGCTAGACTGTTGCTGCTGCGCATTCTGCACTCGTTGAGTTTGTGGCTGCAATAAAAATTCGTATAAAAAACACACTCAACATCCACAAAAAAATTATCAAAATTCCACGAACCTCGGAACTTCCAGGAGGCTGGCCACCACCCGTATTGATATTATGGTGTTCTGGATTCATTGTTAGTCCTCACAATTTTATAGGTTAACAACTTTCACTAAACTATTTACAACAACAAAATATTTATTACACTTTAACCATCGGCATTGCGATAATTTGACTGTCATCGAAATGGAGGCGCGGGGGACGCGACGGGCCGCCATTATGAAACTTAGAGCACAATAACATATTCGTGAATATACCCCTGTAATGTCTTTATTTACTATTATTTAATAAACAATGTTACCAAGATCAAGTTTAGATTTTAATAGTACTATTATTAGTATGAAATATACTTTTTCTAATTATAAAACTACGAAATCTGTAGAAAACACTCATTTCTTCGCACACATCGACGAAAAACGAAAGTTTTTGTCACGATATCAATTCTGCCAACACAGCAGAACTAAAAATCTGGTCCTGTAGCACAAGTTAACAGAATATTTATATTTAATTAAAATATCTGACATTTATATTTTGAGTAACTTTATTTTGTTTATTATTATTATATTAAAATTGGATGGCACTTTGAAAGTTGTAATACAAATTTTATTAATTTACTTTTAGATTCAGATGTTTGTGTCTTAAAAATTACCGATAGATGGCGTTCTTTTGCAAATAATGGTCATAGGATCTGCCAACATGGAATGATTAATCAACTTAACAAAGCGTTCAATTGATAAACAAATTACTGATGTGTTCACGTGAATAATGTAATAATATAATTTAAAAAATATGATTTTTAAGCATATGCACGATCAGGATAACATTATTGTTATCATATAATTACGAATATAATGCAGGTTAAGAAACATTCCAAAGAGATTTGACCATTGTAACTATATAAATGTAGTGTAGTTACTTGGACAACGCGTATCAAGAATAGGTAATTAGAATCATTACTAATATTGAAGGCAGCTTTCTATTAATTTTCTGTGAAAATACATAATTGCGACCTTTTAATTATAGAAAATATATAACTTAGTGGATCAGATGTCTTGAGTGTCCTTATGACATTTGGGTAATAATGCATCAAGAACTGCAGAAAATGTTACCCATGATTTTTAATTCTTTATTTAAGGGTATTGGGATGGTGATCATTTGAATATTAATTCCAGTTAATAAACATAATAATATAGTAGACCTCCTCAATTGACAAAAGAAATTTCCAATGTTTATCTTATTTCTCTAAAGGTACCTATATATTATAATAATATGGTTTTAATGTCTTAACTAAGTCTTAATGTTCATATTTTTTATGATAAATAAGGTATTTCCTTTCATCTAAGTTTCGAAAAAAAAGCTTGGTATATACATATATGGACGTTTGGAAAAAAATATAAACAACTGCAACTTATTACTTACTGAGTGAGAGAAAAGTTATGAATACTGTAGGTCTCTTTAGTTACATATAATATAATAAAATTAATACATTCTTCGTATATGATAACTCGAATAAAACCCTATACTGTGCCGCCTGGCTTGCGTAGTAGTATTAGGATAAATCCTCTTATGAGAAGAGATCCGTACCCAACAGGCGGACGATAATGTATTGTTATGAACACCAAAAAGTATTATTACATATACTTTTTCTATGGTTATGGATAAAATTTTTCCTAGAAAGCTGGTTACTGAATCTGCAAAACATCTCTAATTTATTTTTTAATTATAAAGTAGCGTCAGTATGTCTTTTAACGATCCTAAACAATAGGTAAGCAGGTAGAGCAGAGTAGTGTAATACTCTGAGAAAAGGGAACAAGCATGTAATTTCACTTTTATAATTTTAGTAAGAGCCTATATTTACATAAGAGATTTTTAGTCTATCAGGCTAGTTACTGACTTGACTACTACCTGTCTATTATAGGTATGGCAAGGCATCATCACTCAGCTCAATGTAGAGCAAGATTCTCTGTCCATACGATCTTTTTTGTCGGCTACTACGACGTTGATAAAGCTGGTTGGTGTAGGATCTTAATTCCAGTTTGACTTTTCTTGTTGGTGTGGTCCATTGTGTTCTTCTAGTCAGCTCCTGCGACTTACTAACTAATTACTAAAAGGAGTGAAAAAAGCGAAGGTCAACACTTCTTATTATATATAATATCTATTTGTACCTCACCCAATACAGAGAGAAATAGTATTAATAAATTCATTCGAAAGATTCCACTTTTTACTGCTATCCTGCAGGTGGTTATAAAATAACATAGAGGATTTTCTTTGGCAATGTTCCAGCATTATCCAAAAATACTACTTAGTTCCTATGTTAAATCTTATTCAGTGCAATTGAACAGGAATTTCTTGAGGCAATGGAACCATAGAACGGATTTATTTGATAAAGGTACGTGCACGTTGAACGTAGTGGTTCCAAGTCGGAGGGAACATCAAGCAAACTACGTTTCGATTCAGTAATAACGGTGAAGTTACTCAGACTGCGCGCGTTTCCACTCGCGTTCCGCGTAAAAGTTTACGTTAACTTTAAAAACTTTTTAACTACATTCAATTGTAATATTGTTATTTGTTTTAATTTACATTTTGAGAGAGTGTGTTGCGTTGGCCAGGAACATTTAGAACATATCCATCGCTACGCTCTCGTGTTGGACTATTCACTCAGCTGATATTTGTTTTGATTAGGAAACGTCGTTTTGCCGCCGGTTGGTCGTCTATTGCAGGTAAGATGTACTAATAGACATATGATAAATAACATAAATTATTTAATTCCAAGGTCATAAAAAGGTCGTCAATATTAGTTTTGGTATTGTTTATTCTAATCGTTTAGTAAATTAAATCGATAACGCTTCAGACAAGGAATCTTGTGGTTTTCCGTCACAATAATTCAAACTGAGATGAACTTTCAATTAATTTGGAAAATTACTATAATGATGTGTTACATGCTAATAGTAAAACAGATGCTTGTGGTTTCCGTTATCATCATAATGATCATGTGGTGATTAACAATGCTCATTATGTGTAGTAAGCAAAGATAATAAATTTTATTGTTTACCTACTCAAAAATTTTTCATACAAGTGCCTAAGTTATTTATGTATTTTAAACTTTACGTCTAATAGTTTTAGAACTCTAATCTGTTCAGATAAATAGTAGCATCGTTTAGCGTAAACAGTTGTGAATATTCTTGTACAATATGGGGCACCTAAATAAACAATTTTTATTTACATTGTAGTCAATTAATTACATAAATTTTAAATAACAACGTACTTTACTACAACTTATTTAATTTATTACCTCCATATATGACAGTTACCAATTCGTAACGATAGCAATAATTAATATAAAGACGATGTTTACTTAGTACCTATACGGTATAGTAAGTTACTACTGCTCTACTTACTAAAACTAATATATATGTATATAAATAATAATATAGTAAGTAGAAGAATTAAGTAGAGATACCATATACACTGAATATAAAATATAATTTTTCAGCTAGCTCACTTAAAAAGAGGTTCTCAATATAATTGTATTTGTTTAAGGAGTAAGAAATTAGTTTCTTTTAACTAAGAACAATAAACTGGAGCCACTGGAGCAAAATATAATACATAGTCATTATTTTTCTAGTACTGAGTTCAAGTAAATTAAATGTAAAAGGTTTTGTCAGTGTCACTTTAACACAATATACGCATTGATACATACATACATAGTCATCGAATATATTGTATTTGCCAATGAAAAAATACAATGACATTTAAATTAAGTACTATTATAAAAACTTAAATACATATATGAATTCAGAATTTAAGATTGACCTATGCAATATATATATTTAAATGACGCATGCATGATGTTATTCATCTTACTAATATTATAAACGTGAAAGCTTGTGAGTATGGATGGATGCGTTTTTGTTACTCTTTCATGCAAAAACTATTGGATTTTGATATAATTTTATAGAAATATAGCTTATACATCAGAATCACATAGGCATGTAATTTGAAAAGATATCATGTAAACTGTGCGAAATATAATAATAAATGTGAAGTAAATGTGATGCAGATGAAGTCACGCGAGTCAGCTAGTGTCTACTAATCGTTTATTATTCTGTTATTACTTTAAAATATGCTAAGTATATATTTTTAATTTAAAACATTCTCTCACGATCTCTTACGGAGATTAAAGACAAGAGTAAATAACAGCACCGTATTGTCGCAAATATAAGTTAAATAGTACACAACTTTGGCGTAAAAAAGATGTAGAGCTAAAATTGTAAGTCAATTCCATAAGATATATAATTTGAAAAGATATCATGTAAACTGTGCGAAATATAATAATAAATGTGAAGTAAATGTGATGCAGATGAAGTCACGCGAGTCAGCTAGTGTCTACTAATCGTTTATTATTCTGTTATTACTTTAAAATATGCTAAGTATATATTTTTAATTTAAAACATTCTCTCACGATCTCTTACGGAGATTAAAGACAAGAGTAAATAACAGCACCGTATTGTCGCAAATATAAGTTAAATAGTACACAACTTTGGCGTAAAAAAGATGTAGAGCTAAAATTGTAAGTCAATTCCATAAGATATATAATTTTTTTTACACAAATCCTACTTTATGAGTGGATTACTCTAAATGGAATTAAAATGAATAAATTTCTATTCGAAATTTGTTTTCTTTAATGAAATTAAAGGTTAATAAACATGATATCTTAATCCTCCGGAATGAGGGTATCACATGATAACGTAATGTCCATAGTGCTGTTCATGTATATAGACGACTATTACCACTTACCATCAGGTGGGCTCTTAGTTTGTTTGCTACTTCTATTACATGAAGATTAAGATAAAACATTATAGGTTGCTTAGTAAAAATGTATTAATAAACTATTTAAGAGAATCGCATAGTTCTCTAATCTTTCGTAAGAAATAATTGAATTTGTTTTATAAGCTAGCTAGGTTTGTTTCAGCGCATGCCATTGCATAATCAAAAGCATAAAACTGGTTACAATGGTGCAGAGGTGCTGATATAAACACAACGCTGGTCTGTTTACAAATTATTGCATTACTGGCAATTTCATGACCATTCAAACACATATTATTGTTCTGATTGTTCAGAATTTTCTCTGAGAGCTACAATTGATGTTATATCGAGTAAATTTAACTTTTAAGTACCATAAAAAACCATGAATAAAACTAAAACTAAACTAAACTTAAGTCTACTCTTTAATCTACTTTTTAAGATATTGATTCTAAAATAATTCTTTTGAAATTTCACAGTTTATATTATGCATTGATAAATAGACATCGATAAGGCAATTCTATAAGATTACACGATGAGAATCTCATTGAGATTATTAAGGGAACATGAAATATGTACAGTTATGGAGAAGATATTGCGTAGCACCTGCTTTGATAGGTAGTTGA